CTGATGAGATACTTTCAAAACTCAGAAGTCAAGGTCACAAAGCTGTGGAAAGTAACTGGTTTTATACTTCAGGTTGGTGCTATCACATGTGATGTCTCACTGTTGGCTCTGTACCTTTGGAGGGGTCCAGGGTCCTTCTGACACCTGACAAGTGATGGTCTCTCTTCCCTCCCAGAGAACACAAACTTGAAGGTATCTTCACAGGAGTGATACGTCGCTTGCAATTCGACCATGGACCACAAGATCAACAATGCCTAATTTACATGGACCAGCTGTAATGTATTTATTTTACATAAGGAAATGAAATACTTAGTGTCCATGATTTTGAGGATTTGGAGTTAAGTAACATTAAGGAAATATAACCCAGCTTTTTTTCCTTGCTCTTCTCTCCCTTGAGGGCTGCCAGAGTCTCATAACTGCATGCTCTCTGCAAATGAAATACTGTACCCTCTGCATGACTTAAAGAAAGTGACAATCTCATCTCTGAATTTAAATGCCCTTAATATTTAATTCTTTTCTCTGTGTGGTTAGTAGTTCGCTTCTCCACATTATCAAGATGATGGCTTTCAAAGGCAGGCTATTGGAGATCCTGCACATACCCCAATTCAATTTCCTTGTGAAAATCAAAGCGCTCGCTCCGCTGAAGAGTTGAAAGAGGCTGAAGGGTCACTGCCTTCCCCAGGGGTGCTTGTGCAGGCATTACTCCAGAAGGGCAATGTAAATACTCAGTATGAGGCAACAGGGCATACAAATTTGTTTTTCAATCTATTTTATTTCAGTTCAAAGCATCCTTGCAGACAGACTGTCCAAGGAAACAAGCCACACTTTGGTTATACTCAGTCTTCCTCAATCTCCAAAAGCAGCTCAGTATTGCCAAAGTACAGCTTGTTTTCTTGGGCTGCTGACTGCATTGATGCTTTGAACTGAAATAAAACAGATTGAAAAACAAATTGGTATGCCCTGGGTCTTCCTGCAGCTTCATAATATCCTTCAAAGCCAGGGTTACCACCTACTCTTTACCGGAACCCAACAGACCCAAATCACAGAGTAAAACTGCAATACTCAGATGTGAAGGTCCCACCCAAACCCAAAATAGCAATTTAATTCAGGGATTGTTGTTTAACATTGCATTAACACGCCACTCTCTGTCCAGCTCCTCGCTCCATTTGCTGGGATGGATTCTATCTTCTGATGACATGTACAATATGGTTACTGGATACGGTTTAAAGCAAAACTTGACACTGCTTTTCTTATTTAGTTCCTTAGATTTATTATTGTCTATAATTTCTCATGCTCCTGAACCCAAACATCATCCTATTTTCACTTATTCAAAATTCCTACTACTGTGTCAAAGCATTTCTCTATAGCTTTGGAGGTTTTTTGAGGCAGTTCAGGCTGGCCTCCAACTCCCAGCAACCCTCCTGCCTCAACCTTCTGAGTGCTGGGATTATAAGTGTGTACCACCACACTCAGCTAACACTCTTTTAAAGTATGCAACACTTTTTCGAAAAGTTTTAGAGGAAATCTAATCATTTCAAAAAAAATTTGAAAATAATAGACTAGAAAAATCCCAACATTTTCTTGGTATGCCTTAAGAAAATGTAGATATTGGAGCTGGGTGTATAGCTCAGAGCTGGAGCAAAAAAAGAGGCCCTGGGTTCAATCCCCAGCAACTGCCTCCCCCACCAAAGAAAGGAAGGAGTGTGGGAGTGTAGGAGGGAGGAAGGCAAGGATGAAGGCAGGAAGGAGGAGAGGAAGGGACGGAGGAGGGTAGGGAGCAGATACCTTTGAGGGAGGAGCACAAATGGTTTCTAACAGTTCAGGGGCTGGCCTCTAACTCTCAGCATTCCTCCTGCTCAGCCTCCTGGGTGCTGGAATTATAGGCATGTGCCACCACCACGCCTGGCATGCTTTCTAACTTTTAATTAAAGTGCTGAAAATGCTCTGTACAGATAGTTGTATAATTTGGTTCAAAAAATTAAAACCCACCAGGAAAGTTCTTCTCTAAACAAAACTAAGGAAAAAAAATAAGATATGTATCCCCCCGCTCAAAGATAGAAAAACCACCTACCCTTTTTGCCCCCAATTTTGTCTGTAACACATTTCTGGATTTTTTGGTTATATTTAGTACTTTCAATAAACTCTCCAGCTAGGGTCAAATTGGTTAGTTTTCTCTAAAATTCAGCAAAACAAAAACATTAACTCATTTTCTCTTATTTAATGGGCAGATAACTCTTGGAGGAGGTCTCATTGTCCAGATGGCACAGGGCAGACAGCTACCTAACTTGCTCAGCACCCAGCTCTACCGGTAGTGAAGCTGGCTCAAAGTCAGAGTCTGAGCACAGTACTGTTAAGCACAGCACTCAGTTCTCTGGCACCCCAAGTTCCTGCTCATCTTCCAGGGTCTCTGAGCCTGCTCAAAGGTTCTTCCACCCGGCTTCCTTTTCCTTTCATATTGAACAGGCACCTTGTTTGGACAAGCTTCAACTTAAACTATCTTTCTCAAGAGAGGTCTTCCCTGACCACACAGCCAAAATGGGGACTTCCAGGTTAGTCTCTTAAGTCAACACTGTTTTGTTTCCCTTATAGCAGCTGCCACAGTTTTGAATAACTTATTTCTGCACTGTCTTGACACTGGGTTTTAACATCCAGAACAGAGCCCTCAGGCCCTCATGCTCACCCTGCTAATCATAGAACCTACCAGAGTCCGGCTTGGATGACCTGGCATACACCTATTATTCCAGCACCCTAGAAGCCTGAGGCAGGAGGATCACAAGTGTGAGCCCAACCTGGGCAATTTGGTGACTTAGTGAGACACTGTCTCAAAAAATAAAAAAGGGTTGGGGATGTAACTCACTGCTAAGGGCCCGGGTTCAATTCCCAGTGTCACAGCACAAAAATAGAACCTTCACTTTTAATGTCTACCCAGGATTGTCAGGTTGCATCAGGTTATGGACACAGGCTAGCAGCCTAAGATACAAAAGGTAAGGCGTGGTCCCTGCCTGAGGTCCTCCCAAGCTAGCAGGATCAATACAGGGTAGTTGAGTGGGACCCCTTTAGTTTCAGCTCCCAGCTCCTTTACAGCATAAGCTGTGCAACTTTGACATCTCTCCTCCGGGAGCCTGTTTCCTTGCCTGTACATGTAAATAGTAACAGTACTTATGTCATCATATTGGTGTGAGGCTTATGTGACAGTTCACACAAACAATGCACTAAGCGCCAGTACCCAGCACAAAGGAATCACTTCATAAATATTAACTACTAAATGAATCTGAGGCTGGCAAAAAATAAATAAATAAAAAGGGGTTGGGGGAAAGGCAAAAAAGAATTGAAATGTGTTATGTACATGTACCAATTCCCCACAGTGAACAAAATCGTTATGTACTGCAAATGTGGACTAAAATTTAAAATAAATATTAACTTATTTTATTGTTATGATGCTATGACAGCTGTGTTTGAAACTATCTTTGTGTACCTGTACATCATCTGTCCAAGATCCTCGAGGAATTTAAATTCTTTGTACACCACTGTATTTCCAGGGACTTGAATTGTCCCTGGCACATAGTAGGTGCTCATAAAATGCTGCAAGATTAATGAATGCATTCACACAAGCAGAGTGTTTTCAACCATTTGTTAAATCAATGATGAAAAGTTAGGTTTGGGAACTACTGCCATATAAGGTGTCTACTTTAGGGAGAAAGAGGGGGACTGAAGTCTGATGATTTAAATGGAGTAGGCTTATATTCCCAGCACTTGAGAGGCTGTGGCAGGAGGATAAGCTCCAATATTCAGGCCAGCTGGGGCTACACAGTGAGTTCAAAGCAAGCCTAGGCTACAGAGTGAGTTCAAGGACAACCTGAACTACATTACATAAAGAGACCATCAAATAAATTAAATAAATACAAGCCAAGTGCAGAAACATTTCACTTGGGAATTTGTTTAAACCTAACTTATATCAAGGTTTGATACAATTCCAGACTTGAAAGAAAGTCTGAAGTAACATGTCCAAAAACCAGGCGGGAGTTTTCCCGGGAGGGGCTCACTTTGCCAGCCCTAAAACCTAGCACACCCTGAAACTGCTTAATCCCTCTCCTCACTTCTTCCTCTATTGTAAAACGGAAACATCATACTTACAAGGCGTGGAAGTAAAGCACAACAAGGTATGAATATAAATAAAGCATCTGGATTATTGTAGGCGCTGAGTGTATATTAACTGCGATTGAAAGTAAGGGAAACTACTTAGAATAATCGGCAAAACATGAGGGTTAATGGAAGACAGAATGTTATGTCAGCAAAGAGCTATAGGTGCATGGCCCACTAGTGAGAAGGGACTGGGGAAATCGCAGGACAACAATGATACAATCATTCGTGTCTAGGGCAGAGGTCGACACATTTTTTTCTGTAAAAGGTCAGAGAGAAATATGCAACTACTCAACTCTGCCCCGGGAGAACGAAAGCAGCCATAGACAACATATAAACAATGAACATGGCCGCGTTCCAATAAAACTTCACTTACGGACACCTAAGTTTGATTTCATTATCACCTACATTTCTCTTTGTCCCCCAACCATTTAAAAACGTAAAAACTACTCTTAGCTCTGGGCAAACAAAAACTGGGAGAGGGAGATCAGAGGAAAGTACTTTGCTGAGGTCTGCAGGTTGCAGATGCCGGGTGCTGGGCATGGGGGAGGCGGAAGGAGACTGCGAGATCGAGAGATTCCTGTCGGCCCCAGGCAGGACCCCAGCGGAGAGCAGGCCCCGACCGGGACCGGGTCCCCGAGGCCTCTCCCTGCCCGAGACTACGCGGTGCCTGGGCCCGGGGCGTGTGCTGTCCCGGGGACCCACGTCCCGTGGCGGAGGGAGGCGACTGTGACCGAGACGAGCCCCATAGAGCTGACCACGCGGAAGGGTCTCCGAGAGCCCGTCACTTGGGGCGCCTCTTGGGTCTCAGCTGCAAAAGGGGTCTCCACGCGGAGTCCCAGCCCCGTTTCTATGGTTACCTGTTCAGCACCGATTCAAACTGCCGTTCTTTATTGACAGCGCCATAGAGGACACGAACACTCCTGCCCGAAGGGAACAATAAAGCTTTCGCCATTCAACAGCGCCAGAGACGCCAGCAAGCGGCCATCTTGAGGCCAGCGCGGAAGGGGCAGACGCGGGCAGGGGCGGGGAGTCCTTGCCCTGGGCCGCGTCACGTGCCGGGGGCGGTCTCGCGAGAAGGCGGGGCTTGCGTCAAGTGCTCGCTCTCCGCCAATGCTAGGCCTCCGAGGCTAGCGGGTGGCCATCCTTCTCTGGCTGTCTGACCTTGGCTCTTCCGCCCCATCGCCATAGAGCCTTGGGGAAGTTCTACTGGAGTTTCTCCGCCCCTTGCTGGGGCAGCTCCAGGGATAAGATCTTGTTTCAAAGGATGACATAGAAGTAGACAAAAGATTTATTTTTTCCAAAGCAACACGTTCACTTGTAAGGCCTGGCCGAGTCCCGTCCCCAGACACATTCTCATTGGTGGAGAGCTTGCGCCGCTCGGACGTGATAGGCTAGCGGGCTGAGTACCAACCAATCACGGTGAGGCGATGTCTTTGTGATCCCGCCCCTCCCTCTCGGAGTTCTAGGGTTTTGGGGCATTTGCTGGGGAAGTGTTTGTAGCTTTGTTTTGCACGTTTTTCTTCTCACGTACTTCGTCACGCACTATGCGTTTCTCGTTGAAGCCTGTACCTCCCCTTGCCATCCTCACAGAATCAGATGTAAGTCAGACCAAGACAGTATTAAATTAAATCCCGTCGGCGCTGGCTCGGTGGACGCAATTACTATTATCCCATGCACCCTTTAGCTGTCCTTGGCTCGAGCTCCCTCTGTGGTTACAGCTATTACATCAGTATCAATATTCAGTCCTGAGCGCTGTCACTGTCCGACTATCGCCATTTTAATCACAATTCATTCTACTGGGCAGAGCTGGCATTCGCACCGTTGCTGTCGCCTGGCCCATCATATTTACTGCCATTGTCCAATATACACCTACTACCTGTGACAATAAACTTGAAGCAGTCCTGTTTACTGTAGCGCTTTGTGTTCCCGCCGTGGGGTTGTCTTCACTCAGCTACTTTCATTGCCACCTAGTCAAGTCATTAACAGGTCAGTCTCAGTACACTGTTGTCCTTCTTAGTCACTTTCACTATCATACTCACACATCGCTGTCACATTCAGGATCAGCTTTACTATAGCTAACATTCAGTCATTTTTGTAGTCCCTAGAGCTGTATCTATAACTATTGTGTCCTCTGAGCCATTTCCACCGTCGCCAGTTTCTTCCTAATGGGAGCCCCACAATATGGAATTGCTAGATCTCGCATATAAACACCTAGAAGAGTGCCTGGCACATAGTAAGAGCTCTGGAAATATTCACTGAATTCATGGATTTTTTAAAAAACAATATTACCACCAGGCATGGTGGTATTTGGGAGGCTGAGGCAGGAGGATCTCAAGTTTGAGCCCAGCCTGGGCAACTTAGTGACTTAGTGAAAATCTGTCTCAGAATAAAAAATTAAAAAGACTGGGAATGTAGCTCAGTGCAAGGGCTCTGGGTTCCATCCCCAGTACCAAGTTGGGGGATAAACCACAAGGAAAACCGCCACCATGTACACAGAATTCCTGGAACCATGGTTACAGGAGGACTCTTTTTTTTCAGTCCAAGGGATCCAACCTAGAGCCTCACATATGCTAGGCAAGTGCTCTGCCGCTGAGCTACATATCAATCCGCAAGAATAGGACTTCTAAAAGTTTTTTTTTAATTTTAAAAGGAATACAGGCATCTCTTGTTAACAACCTACCTGTTTAACAACTGTTCAGACTTATGACTCATCTTTTTTGGTACAGTTCCGTACGTCTTTATAGAGCCTCAATGTCTTCTTTTGTACAGTACACCTTGTTTATACAGTACTGTAATTTTTGCTGATTGTACTATACAGTACAGTACTGTAGTTTTGTGTTCTGTTATACATTACAGTACTGCACTTGAGTTGTGCAAATAAAAGCAAAGTCATCAAGTTGGAGTTTCCTTTGACCATTTCTTTCCTGTGAATATTGTAATGTACATACTATATACATTTCCTCATTTAACGACCAATTCATTAACGACATAGTCACAGGATCAGAAATTGATTGTTAAACAGAGAATGTCAGTACATGTTTATTGTAGAATATTTAGAAAATGTGGGGAGGAATCATTCCTCCGGAAGGACTGTCTCAGACATAACAGGGAATGCCATACCCATCATGTCCACATGAGGCTTTGAGTGGAAAGCTCTACAGTGGATCTGAAAACAATCGCTGGAGGTCAAAATGTAGGCATGCTTAAAGTATTGTATACGACTACCTTCAGTCTGTGTATATAAGATATGTATGCAGCATTTATATGTTGAGACTTGTGTACCATCTTCAGGACATCTCATTATGTATATGCAGATATTCCAAAATCCCAAAGACTTCTGGTATCAAGCATTTCAGATAAGGGATAATTAATCCATATTAGACTTTCTTATGGAACTGACTTGCCTGCAGTTCAGGAAGAACAGCGTAGGAGGGCAAGGGGGATAGTAAATCAATGGCTGAGTATTTACCTAGCATGCAAGCCCCTGCCACCAAAAAAATTAAAAAATAAATAAATAAATGAATAAATAAATAAAGGAAGAAAGAAAAGAAGCTAGGCATGGTGGCAAAATACTATAATCCCAGCATTTGGGGAGGGCTGGGGATGTAGTTCACTGCAAAGGTCTTGGGTTCATTCCCACTGTTGTGGAAGTGGAGGGAGCGAACAAACAGCCTAGGGTCAGAGAGAGCTGGCTTCCGGCCAGCTGTGACCGGGAAGAACAAGGAACTCATGGCAAGGACTTCCAAAGGCCTCACTTCTTCAGAGAACCCCAGCAGCTTTAGAAAAAGGAGGTGCTTCCCAACCACCAAAAGGACTCAGAACTTGACCTTGAGGGGGAAAGTACTTAAGGACTTTTTACTTTTTTTTTTCCTTTGTAGAGAGTGTTCTTATTCACGTCCCTTCATCAGATGCCTGAGATGGCTCCAGGTAAATGCTAGCTGAGGGGCTGTGGCTGTGGCTCCATGGCAGGGTTGTGTGAGACCCTGGGTTCCATCCCCAGCACCAAACAAACAAAAACCCTACAGCTGTTTCCAGAGTGACTATACATGCTGAGGACACTGAGCTGAGGAGAACACTCATCCTTGCCATAGTTGGAAATAACACCATCGCAGCTACTTCTATTGCTAAGAAGAGCAATCATCATCTATTTCGCTCTTGTTCTCTGCCAGGTACTGTGCCAATCTCCACAACAACACTACCTGTTATAGTTTAGATGTGAAATGTTCCCCAAGCCTCTAGGTGTGTGGAATGTAGTAGATTCTGAGGGTATTACACTCATCTGTGAATGAGCGGACTGATCAGAGTTAAATGTACTGCTAGAAGTTGGGGCCTAGTTGGAGATGGGCCACTGCAGGTGTGACCTTGTCCCACTCCTCCCTTCTCTCTCTGCTTCCTGGCTGCCGTGGGCTGAGCAGCTTTCCTCTGGCAGGCCCTTCCCCCATGATGTTTCTGCTCGGAGCCAGCTGACCATGGACTATAACCGAGAGCCAAAAGAAATTTCTCCGTTAAGTTGCAGGCGTCAGGTGTTCTGTCCCAGCTACAGGAAAGTGACTCATAGATTATCTCATGTAATTCTCATAGTTACTCAGGGAAATAGGTAACATTGTTACCCCATTTATATAAGAGGAAACAGACCCAGAGAAGGGAAATAATTTGTCCAAAGAAACCCAACTGCTTGGCTAGGTGATAGGGTGCATACCTATAATCCCAGCTACTCTGGAGGCTGAGGAAGAAAGACTGCAAGTTCAAGGTCAGCCTGGGCAACTCAGCGAGACCCTGTCTCTCAAAACAAGAAGAGGAAGAATAGGAAAAAACCCAGCTAGCTTCTTAACAGTAGAGTTAGGATATACATCTGGCAGTCTGACTCTAGAGCCTGCACTTTTTTCAACCTAAAATATTAACTTGGCTTTTACAGAATAAATATGTTCATTGTAAGGAATTTGAGGATTACAGAAAAAGTACAAAGAAAAGAGTGAAATCTGAGTCACTGTAAATCCTACCCTCTAGCAGTAACCTATCATTATAGATGAGGATTGCTCCATTTCCTGGCATATTTATACAAGTAAATGGATAGAGAGATACTAACGATAATAATGACAGCTTCTATCCAACAAGCATTATCTGCTGGACACTTCCCATGAGCCAACACATTTAATTTACTCGAAGAGAGATGGATAGATGTAATTTTATTAAAATGAACTCATTTAACACATTCAGAGTTCACATCAGCAGCCAACCACCTGCTGATGTTATGCTCCAAATCTGTGTTCTTCCATGGTTTTGCTATCTTCTCTCCGCCTTCCAATCAAATCCTAAGCCCAAAGTCCTTGGGCTGCAAAAGCTGAGTCTTTAAATAGCATGCTCTGCCCAGCTGCTGCCCAGTCAAATGTTTCTGCATTTCCCCAAGGCAGCGGTGGTATTTGTGGAAGTGAAGTTTGCTGCAGACCCGACATATGCTTTTTATTTGTTAGAGTAGGTGTCTGGGCCTTGGCATTCTCCTTCCTGGCTTTCTAAGTGTTAGAATTTCACTCTCCTTTTCTCAGTCCAAATGAAGCCAGACCTTCTGATCGTGCCCAGCAGATACAAGAGTCTCAGATGAGGATGCTGTTGGAATTTGCCGAATGCCTCAGAAAGGTCAGCCTCCTGCTCATCCATCCAGGACGACAAAAGACAAGGAGGAGGGAGACTGTCTCCCTTCAGCAGCCCATAGCACTTCGGTGGACCTGCATCTGCTGATAGCCTGTGAGTGAATCTCCTGCCTCAGTTGCCCCCTTAGGCACCTGAGGTCTCACATTTAGATTGCTGGAATCAGGCTGGCGATGGAGCTCAGTGGTAGATTGCTTTCCTAGCATGTGTGGTGCTCTGGGTCCAATGCCCAGCAGTGCTGAAGGGAAAAGAGGAAAGCAATCAGCAGCCCCCTGACATAGATCACAGGCCCCATCCGCTGTCCTCTACCCTGTTGTACATTCTGTGGGTTTTGCTAAATAAGAATTACAGGAGGTCATTGTTTTGGACCAAGTTCCTGTACTAG